TCACCACACACTCCACACCTACAGGGAGCAGTTCCACCACTTCCAAAGGTCCTACGACTACGACATCTCTCAAGACGACCACTACCTATCAAACTCCATCACACCCTCAGACTACAATTCCCACTCACATTCCATCTTTCTCCACCTCCTTGGTGAACCCAAGTACTCACCCAGTCATCATCCCTACCCACGCACAGATGTCCACTTTTACCTATATGCACTCAATGCCAACAGGCACCATTCCTCCACAAACAACAGTCAAGGCCACAGGGTCCACCCACACAGCCCCACCAATGACGGCAACAACCAGTAGGACCACCCAAACCCAAAGCTCCTTCAGCACAGCCAAAACGTCTACATCCCTACACTCACATGCTTCCTCCACACACCATCCAGAAATCACCCCAACTTCTACCATCATGATTACTCCCAAGTCCACCAGTGCAGGCACTGGCACCCCTGTGACCCACACCACCTCAGCCACCAGCAGCAGGCCGCCACCACTGGTCACAACACACTTCCCACCTACAGGGAGTAGTCCCCTCTTTTCCACAGGTCCTATGACTCCAACATCCTTCAAGACCACCACTACCTATCCAACCCCATCACACCCTCAGACCACACTTCCCACTCATGTTCCACCTTTCTCCACCTCCTTGGTGACTCCAAGCACTCACACAGTCATCACCCCTCCCCACGCACAGATGTCCACTTCTGCCTCCATCCATTCAATGTCCACAGGCACCACTGTACCACCGACAACAGTCAGTGCCACAGGGTCCACCCACACAGCCCCACCGATGACGGGGACCACCAGTGGGAGCAGCCAAGTCCACAGCTCATTCAGCACAGCCACAACCTCTACATCCCAACACTCACATGCTTCCTCCACACACCATCCAGAAATCACCCCAACTTCTACCACCACAAATAATCCCAAGCCCACCAGTACAGGCACCGGCACCCCTGTGACCCGCACCACCTCGGTCACCAGCAGCAGGCCACCCACACCCTTTACCACACACTCCCCACCTACAGGGAGCACTCCCATCACTTCCACAGGTCCTACAACTGCAACATCCTTCCAGACCACCACTACCTATCCAACTCCATCACACCCTCAGACCACACTTCCCACTCAGGTTCCACCTTCATCCACCTCGTCAGTAACTCCAAGTACTCACACAGTCATCACTCTTACCCATGCACAGATATCCACTTCTGCCTCAATCCACTCAACGCCAACAGACACCATTCCTCCACTGACAACGCACATGGCCACAGGGTCCACACGCACAGCCCTACCAATGACGGGGACCACCATTCAGACCAGCCAAGCCCACAGCTCATTCAGCACAGCCAAAACCTCTACATCCCTCCACTCACATGCTTCCTCCACACATCATCCTGAAACCACACTAAATTCTACCACCATTATTCCCAAGTCCACTAGTGCAGGAACCAGCACCCCTGTGGCCCACACCACGCTGACCACCATCAGTGAGCCACACACACCCTTCACCACACATTCACCTTCAGGGAGCAGACCCAGCTCTTCCACAGGTCCTATGACTACAATATCCTTCAAGACTACCACTGCCTATCCAACCCCATCACACCCTCAGACACTTCCCACTCACGTTCCACCTTTCTCCACCTCCTTGGTGACTTCAAGTACTCACGATGTCATCACCCCAACCCATGCACAGATGTCCACTTCCACCTCCATCCACTCAACACCAACAGGCACCATTCCTTCATCAACAACGGTCAAGGCAACAGGGTCCACACACACAGCCCCACCAATGACAGTGACCACCAGTGTGACCAGCCAAGCCCACAGCTCATTTAGCACAACCAAAACCTCTACATCCCTATACTCACACACTTCCTCCACACACCATCCTGAAATCACCCCAACTTCTACCACCACGATTACTCCCAATCCCACCAGTACAGGCACTGGAACCCCTGTGGCCCACACCACCTCGGCCACCAGCAACAGGCCACCACCACCCTTCACCACACATTCCCCACCTACAGGGAGCACTGCCATCACTTCCACAGGTCCTATAACTGTAACATCCTTCAAGACTACCACTACCTATCCAACCCCATCACACCCTCAGACCACACTTCCCACTCACGTTCCACCTTTCTCCACCTCCTCAGTGACTCCAAGTACTCACACAGTCATCACCCCTACCCA